CAAAGACCTGCAATCTGCAAACACAGGATATCTCTGTCATCGATCTTAAGTTCGCGCTGCCTTGAGCGCAGAGATTTCGCAAGCTCTCCTGCCAAGTACGCCACCCTGCATCATGTGATGGGACACACAAACACACACATTTACTCTTTAGTCATTTGTACATTTACTTGTTTTCTGTCGGTCACTCATCAATCAATATCTCATAGGTTGTATTATGATGAAGAGTACATACCCAATGGAGTGTTCAAAGCGGTTGTGGGATGCCCCAGGGTAAACACGGTAGCATCCCCCAAGCTGCTTGATGTCTCGCAACCTTTGGAACTGAGGTGTGTCAATGATTTTGACAAGAAGTGGGTGTAACTCCATGTGGCCATGGACAGAATCATTAATCACCTGGCAGCAGAAGACAAAACAGATGGCATCATGTCAGCAGTTAGCCACAAACAAACGGAAACAAATGGAAACATGACACAATTTAAGAGGAAACTTTCAGAATGATGCAAATGTGTTGATGACCAAAAAAGTAAAAAATCTGGAAAAGCCTCTTTCTGTGGGGCAAACAACTGCATTTCTGATGGAGGGAGTAAATAAGTTAATGAGGCAATCATCGATTCATCCATCCATTGTCTGAATCGCTTATTCCCAAATGGCATCGCGTGGGACTGGAGCCTATCCCAGTAGTCAACGGGCGAGAGGCGGGGTACCCATGGATGTTCCACCAGTCCATCGCAGGGCCACACGAAGACAAACCAGCACACACACTCGATCCTAAGGGAAATTTGTCCTGACTGTCCAATTAACCCAACATGCAGGTTTTTGGACAGTGGGAGGAAGCTAGAAAACCTGGAGAGAACCCACGCAGACCATACAAACAGAGAGGTCCTGGTTCCCCCAGGGACTTGAACCCAGAACCCTCTAGCTGTGAAGCGTGGTGCTAACCACCACACCACCAATTATCAATTAATGAATCTCTTATTTGACAGTGAAGTTATTATACATTTTTATTCTCTCTTCAGACACATAGTGAATTTTACAATCTGTCTAAAGTTTTATTACCGTGTGTGGGAGTTTATCAATTTGTCTGAAAAGAAAACAGCAGAGGAGATGATTAATAGATGAACCCAATGGACAATTGAACACAATACAACTAGATCACTTACGCCATTGTCTTTGGGTCAGAACCAGTGTTGTTTTTTTCTGGGGACAAGAGGAAACAAGTAACATATACGTTATTATACATATTCAATATCACCTTTTAGTTGAAGAGTTTGTGTATGTAATTAATAATTTTAGAATGAGATTTTTCAGTTTTGAATGACTTGCAGTCAAAGGATCCAAACTTTTCATTATTTTACCACTGATGACACCGATTTAATGATTTGATATTAAAACCAGTAAACAAACGATGCATTGATTTGAAATGAAAATAGTTTCAAATAAAACATATATTTCCAATCCTTAATAAAAAGTCCTTCTGTTTCAGGATCGTACCTGTTTCCTCTGCTTTATTGCCCACGTCGTTCTCTTGCAAAAGATGTGATTTCGTCTTTTTAAGATCTCAAAGCTGAAAAGGTGTCTTTTTGGAATTCTAAATGTTGATCTAAGAAGTGCAAAAGACATCAGGGTCTGAACAGCATTGGCTTTTTATGTCATTGCCACACCCATAATTTCCCCCCCCTCCCCTGTTATGTCTAATACTGTCTTTATATGTCGCCAGTATTTTCCTGCCATGCGATGGACTGGTGGACCGTCCAGTGTGTACCCGCCTCTCGCCCATTGGCCACTGGGTTAGGCTGCAGTCCCCCCAGTGACCACATTAGGGAATAAGCGGCACTGGGAACATTTGTCCTGCCAAGTCCTGTTCTGAATTTCAAAACATATTTAAATAGTTCTTCATGCAAAACTGGTTGCAAAGCTGGTTCATGCAAAACTGAATTCTCTGGCAGGACAATCACAGGCTATTTATTTTGGATCCTAATTAGTTTGTTATTGTCGCTATAGATTGCAAACATTACTGTGCTTTTACACAATTCCTCCACTATATTCCTTATATGTTTCACTACCATACTATATTGGCTTAAACCGATCAAGTAATTCTTAGCTTCAAAAAGAAAATGTACTGAGGTCACAAAATTAATGAAACATTGCTTTACTTATAAACACCTTTAAAATGTGGCTTTCAGGGATTAACATCTAGATACAAAAAGGGAAAAATATGTTATTAAAGTATTACAAGACAAAGTCAATTTCAGTTCTACCTGCATCTGGGGATTGGTACTGGCATTCTGTCACGGTGTGTGAAACACATTTTTATGATGAACTCAGAAGAGCATGTGTCTGATGTGATGTGACCATCCATCCATCCATCCATCCATCCATCCATCCATCCATCCATCCA